AGTAATAGTAATAGTAATAGTAATAGTAATAGTAATAGTAATAGTAATAGTAATAGTAATAGTAATAGCAATAGTAACAGTAATAGTAACAGTAATAGTAATAGTAATAGTAATAGTAACAGTAATAGTAACAGTAATAGTAATAGTAATAGTAATAGTAATATTCATGTTGCTAACTGTCCGGACTAGCACCTGTTTTGTCCGGGATAGCGTGTACACACTGCAAATGTTTGGCCGCGCCTGGCCCGGACTAGTTTGATGTAGGATCAAATTTGAAATCTGTACGGAATAAGAGTAAGAGATTGAGAGTAACTCGTTTACGGTGATTGTTTTACAGTAATAGTAATGGTGCGGTAACGGAGAGAATCATTTTTTATTACAGTCTGTCGCAGAAGAGTACGTATCCTGTTATGGGTAAGCGCCCTCGCCATCATACTCTACTGCAGTCTTCTGCCAGAGCAGGAGCAGAGCAGAAACCCTGTCGGACAGCCGGAAACAGTTCACATCCTCATGTTCTTCGCTAAAGCTGAGAAGAATGACCTGCTTCAACAGCAACTTCGAGCCAACATTAGGTTCGTTCCCCGTTACAATAATTCGTCGTGTTATCGCATCGCGTGCGTTATAAAAGCATGACAGCAAGCTTTTTAATCTTAAATGACGTTTCACCGATCTCGTGCGAACGTGTATCGATATGTTTCACGTCGTTATCTCGACTTTCCAGTAGCAGTACGAGAACTAATTCGATTTTATTTCATGGTATTCACAAAATATTAGTGTCCAGTAGTGGTGAGAGCTTTCACGCTCGTGTTTGCTATTCCCAAGAAATGCCTTCCAATGTCGGTAGCAGCGTTTGCGACCGTAAAAATGCACCTGGCTTCTAAATCGAGCCAAAGACAAGTGATACGAGAACCCTTGTGGACGCCTATATACAACAGTCTCGCATTTTTCCCTAACCACGCCATCACTCACGGGTCGAACTCTGACAACCGCATTTTCTTACGCAGGTCTATGGTGAAGCATGCAACTGGTAGGATCAAGTACCATTTCCTGGGCGACGCGAACAGCACCCGGATCGCAGCCGACATCCTGGAAAACGTGTTCAATACAATTCCGCACAGAGAGAATCTAGTCATACAGGTATTAGAAACACGGAAGATACCTGCGCTAGATGAGATTGTCTATGCATTCCTAATTGCATCATGCATTCCTAACCTGTGCGACGTCCGCGGATATCGGCTCGCATGTCCAAACTTGTTAGCGTTTGCAACATTCGCAACGAAATTTAATGTGGAGAGGTAGAACAATGGAATTTAGAAAGTAATAAATTCAAAATGATAAATTAAAAGTTAGAAATTAGAAGTTAAAAGTTAGAAATTATAAATTAGAAACTGGAAGTTAGAAATTAGAAATTAAAGATTAGAAATTAGAAATTAGAAATTAGCAATAAGAAATAAAAAATAAAAAATTATACATTAGAAATTAGACATTATATATTCGAAATTCGAAATTAGAAATTAAACATTAGAAATTTGAAATTGGATATTTGCAATTAAAAGTTCAACTTTATAAATTAGAAATTAAAAAATTATAATACACTTAATATTTTCACGGTCCGTTACCAGGTGCAGACATACGAAGTCGAATCGGTCGTTGCAAAAGTAGTACACGACGTATGGCCTATTCAGCGGTTGTTTAAAAGTTACCGAACGAAATACAATCTCTTCAACGACATATTCTACTTCATTCCGTTCGCCCTTCACAAGGTCATTGACCTGTCTGAGGTCGATCGTATCATCAAAGTGGATGCCGACATGAGATTAATGAACGACATTCGGAAACTTTGGCGGGAGTTTGATGAATTCAAAGAGGAGACAATATTCGCGCTGGCTCAAGAGCAACAACCTGTATATTATCAAAGGTTTGCAAAGGCACGCGAGGCTGTTGGTGACGACAGGCTGGGCATGCCGCCACCTAGTGGCAAACCGGGTTACAATGGTGGCCTCTACCTTATCAACCTCGACCACATGTCGAAATCTAAGAAATATCAAGCGGCGGTATCTGAGAGAAATCTGAGATATTTAATGCGAAAGTACTATTTCACGAAATCGCATCTCGGCGACCAAGAAGTGGTGACGATATTGGGCATGGAGTATCCCGAACTGTTTCACACGCTGCCGTGCACGTGGAATCGGCAGCTGTGCCGCAAGTATGCGCGCTCCATCACCATGCCCTCGGCTTTATTCGAACTGTTCAACCGATGTGACGGAGCGGTGAACTTGTACCACGGCAACTGTCACACGCCATTTCCACCCGAAGCTGAGTTGTAACCGAGCGCGTATGTGCATGTTTTGTCGTGCGGCTCTTAACGCAATTCTAGTTTAATCGCAACGACGTGCATTGTATTTGGCAGATTGATAGTATGCGTTGTATATGATTATTAATTAAGGAGAAACTTAGGAAAGTGTTGAGCAACTTTAGATGCACTCTATTTGAAAAAACAGTGGACAAAATATATAGTACGCATTTAAAAGATAATATTGTAAATGGCGCTCCGTAGCTATAGATGAGTTTAATAAATGTCCACGTTGCAACGCGAAACGTTGTTGCTGTTTCAAGCCTCTAATTCGATTCAATTAAGAGCATTTATGATAAAAAAACATTTGGAGTATATGCCATTTGGGGACTGCTAGCAATGGGTTGAATCCCTTAATAGTTATTTACTTATTTCTATCTGTTAGGATTGCCAAACGTAAAGAAAGCTTGCTAAAATCACTGGATGCAGTATCATGTCCACCCGCTCACGCTACATCTATATGTATTCAACACCCGCACGCGGTGTTCATATATATAGATGCAGTGTGAGCAGGCTGGTATGCAGCTCTAGAACTATAGTCCTTCGCTCTGCCTGTGACATGATACTGCAGCCAGCGAGTAAAAGAGCAAGATTCCGGTTTGTGTTTTGTGTTGTATGTTGAATTTTGCGAGCGTTAGTGCACTTTATATATTGTGCTCGTGGCGTTACATAGAGGATTCGTCATCGCGCGAATAATAAATGTATGTTTGTGAGTTGAACAAAGAATAAAAGAATAAATATGATGCAGATTTTCGCATCTTATATTCTTGTGCACACGTTGCATTCGGTACCACGCGGATACAGGGTGCTATTACTGCCCTTGGTCGCGTAGAAAAATATCGTTCCATTCGAAACATTACCGTCTGAAAGTATTTAGAATCTCAGAAACGATGGCTGTCGAATTAATAAACTAAAGTCATGATTGTGCTTTTAATGTCAGCGCAGGTGTGTCAACGACAGATGTGAAATGTGCGCTTACCAACAAATACGCGATGAATTCCAGGCACAAACGAGCCAAAAACAATACCCTCCGCTACACTTCGTGCGGAGGATAAATATGCGATGGAATCTATCTCACATAGCCGCGGTAAGATTGTGCAGAGCCCACATACATAGCATGCCAGAGATATACGTACCTCCTCGTTGGAAAAGCTCAATTAGCAAGGAAGAAAGAAAGGAGAGGAAGAAGGAGAGCGAGAGAGAAAGCAATATGGTGGGAGATATTTAGGGAGGTGAGCGCGATAGGGAACCCCGAGCGAGATGCCCACGTTATAGTTTAAGTAACGTTCACTTCTAGGTTGGGACAAGTGTCATGTCAAGTATTCTGTCTCTGAAATGTGACACCAAATGTAAACGGGGCATTCGCACCGTTGCCACGTCTGCGCAGCGTGATCTTGACATTGCTGGGTCTTAATTCCGCTGCCAACACATCCCTGAGTCATCTATCTTGCGTGCATAATGCAAATTAGTGCATTCTACTGCCGATTTTTATCCCCCAGCGAAATACGCTGCGTGAGACCGGACACACCGCGCGGACCCGGCACCGTATTTAACGATCGCAAGCGGCCAGCGTAGAAAATTGCGCAGTGTGTCCTATACCCCGAGGCTAGACCCCGACTACTTCCCTACTAGGCTTTCCCCTAGAGTGGAGACTCCACTGCGGTGCTTGGAATCCTCGGAGCATCGCGATGAGCATCGCATGTACTTTCGCCCCGGGGAGACGCGAGAGAGAGAGAGGACAATACCGCATTGCCCGGTGCCAGACTAGTGGCCATTCGTCATTTGATTAGTATAATCTCACAGGAAACTCACACACTGCTTTAGAAATGTGTGTCCATGAGCATCCCGGTAGACAATTTAGCAACAATGCACAGTGAGTGAAGTACAAGATAAAAATAACATTCCGGTTTTGTCTCCAGCTGAGTGAGCTGACGCGAAGGATGGAAGAAATGCTGCGATGTGTTCCGCGATCATTCATCTCTCTCTCTCTCTCTCTCTCTTCCCCTTCTCTCTCTCTCTCTCTCTCTCTCATCTTCTCTCTCTCTCTCTCTCCTGTTCTTTCTCGCTCTCCTCGCTCTCTCTCTCTCTCTTCTCTCTCTCTCTCAATCTTGCCCTCTCGCCTTCTCCCCTTTTATGCACGTCGAATCGTGTATTTTATTAGCCGAGGTCTGATCTATAGCAAGCACGTGCTCGAATATTATAATATTTCTACTTATTATTTGTAAAACATTCGTAATTTTTTATTTACCCGTTCACTAGTAATATTAATGTTTGGCTTATTAAAAGAACTTAAAGCGAAAGTATCGCGCTTTCGCAGTCGCGCTTTCAGGATGCCTGCTGTATAATCGTTACGTTTATGCAACAAAAAAACACAGTCTGCGAAGAGAAATGCCAGATTTTCGCATATGAATATCGTCAAGAGCGCCGGCAAGAAGCTGATCGTGATTCCGACCCGACGTAAATACTGCTGAGTAATCGAATGCGATTTTATCTGCGATCCTGACTGAATGGTAAGAATGAGACCAGAAACGGAATATAGACTAGATATTTAGAGAATAGTGAGACCGTGGTGGGTGTAGGCGAGAGCAGAGAGAGAGAGAGAGAGAGAAAAAGAGAGAGAGAGAGAGAGAGAGAGAGAGAGAGAGAGAGAGCGAAAGCGAGAGCGAGAGAGGGGAGAGGAAGATACACGAGTCTGCAGATTTAGAATGGTTGTTCACCTACACACGCGGGCTCTTCTATATAACATATACTGCGCTCAAGTATGATGATATATGATGCTCTCAAGTGTACGCGCCTCTCTCAGTGCTGATAATCCTGGTAACTAACAATACACTTTCAACAATTTAATGTGTATTGTTGAACACATTCTAACAATAGGCGCGTTCACACTGGCGCGAATAAGCGGGATGCAAATCCTGGTTTTTCAATCGCGATCGAAATACCGAGATTATTACAAGTGTGAACGCAATAATACCCACTAATAATTGCGATCAGCATCGCGCTCCAAATCATTCCGGCAGTGAGCATGCGCAGTTCTATTAATAGAATTATCCCGCTCGGCGATTAGCGCGATTATTCGCCTGTGTGAACAACACAACACATTTATCCCGGTATTTCATCGCGATTAGCATCCCGGTTTTTCTTGTGTGTGAACGCGCCTAATATAATATGTATTGTTGTAGAACCTATAAAAAAGATTATTCCCTGAAATATTTTTTCTTATTGACTTTGGTGCCACTGGGGCCATATCATGGAAAAATATTTCGAATTTGTTAAAATTGCTTTATCCGGATGTTTAGGACCAAAATATTTTTAATTAACGATCTCGTCTTTGTTATTATAGTATATATAGTGTTATTTTAAGAAATATATCGATATTGCTTTAATTAAACTTAAAATTGACATTTATTGAAATGAATTTGTTGAAATTATTTGATTGATTTTATTGAATTTATTAAAAATGAAATTGAATTTAAATACACAGTTGTTAGGTTCTACAACAATACATATGATATTGTTAGAAGGTGTTCAACAATACACACTGTATTGTTGAACGGGTATTGTTAGTTACTATGATTATCTGCTCTGAGAATTCTTCGCGCTTTATATAGCGTGAATGTTGATAATGATCCAGATTGAAAATAGACTAAATGGAGCTGTGCTAACAAACCAGCAGGCGGGGCCTGGCGGACGGAAAGGTCGCCAAATCGTCAGGGCGGACCGACTTCGTGCGCCACGGTGTGGAGCAGCCTAAAAAATACTTTTTTTATTACAAGAGCTCTTTTTTGATTTTGTATGAAAAAAAAGAGCTCTCGTAATTTTGTTTACGGGAGCTTGGCCAGAGCTACTTTTTCATAGCATGATTTTGTTAAAATTTTCATAATTTTGACGCACTGACTCTAATAATGTCTCAGAAGCCAGAAATTGTGTCGAATTATCGTAAAGGTGTTTCCCAAACAAAAGTCAAGATGATGCTTTGGCGAAATCGACGAGGTCACAAATTATTCCTAATGGTGACAAAATCACGGAGGCCGGGTTTACATGTTGCTGTATGCATGTTGTGTACAAAGTATGACTGCATGCACTGATTGTCTCATTCGCATTGTTTTTTAATTCAAATCTCGTTATGTCTAGCCATTTAATAAAAAAAACTTGCTTGCCCGAACAGGGAAGTGCAATTTCAAGCTATACCTGCCCCGGAGAGAATTTTGGTTGCCCCGGGCCATCGGGCAAGCGGGTTTGTCGAGCCCGGCACCGCAGGGTTCGAATTTCGGCTGAAAATCTAGTGGACAGCAGGACCACCAACTTCAGAAAGTTGGTGGACATGCACAAAAATTTGGAGGTCAGCTTATTTACTAGCAGTGAGTAACAAAATAGTATATAAAGATAACCATTGGAATTAAAACAGCATACGCATAACAAGGCGTTAATGAAGACAAATAATATCTTCATTAACTCTTGATGTAACTTAATTAGAGTTGGTCAAATAATGTTTCAATCTCTAGGAATGTCGTGGGAGCTTCTGGGTAAGGTTTTACTTTCGTTTTTCTCTTCTCCAGTCCACGGTACCCCCTTGCATAGTCCGAGATTCCTCTGACCAATGCCCACACCGACGATTTTGGTGGTTTTGGTGTGGGTTAGTGGGTGTGGGTTAGTGGGTTCCTCTAACCCACACCAAAACCACCAAAATCGTCGGTGTGGGCATTGGTCAGAGGAATCTCGGATTACCCCTTGCATAGATATATCAATGCTGCCGCACATCCACAAAGTTACAAGTGCCTAGAATCTTCAAGTATATACAGTTTAAATTTCTTCTAAATATCTACCTGAATAAAAACAGTCCACTTTCTACGTGACGAATTCAGAAAACAGCTTTGATTACGTGCGTGTCAGGTGTCACTGGTCGTGCCCTAACTTCCCACAATAACCCCTGCGATATATAAACTTTAATATTGTTACGCGGTTTACGAGACCGCACACACGCACACACACACACACACGCACACACACACACACACACACACACACCACACACACACACGCGCACACACACACACACACACACACACAGAACTTATCCGCGAATTGCAATATTACCGACAATCACGTGCCGCCGGCCATACTGGTATTCCGAACACGAACCCATGTTACACGTTAACATGTTAACACGTTAACACGTTAACACGTTAACACGTTAACACGTTAACACGTTAAGCCCGGCGCACACGTGGCGATTTTTTACGACAGTACCGTCGATTTTTATCGCCGGTACAGTCGATAAAAAATCGCCACGTGTGCGCCACCCGGCGACAATTCAACCGTCTGTCAGCGACATACCACTGTAAGAACTGTACGTGACCTGTTCAAACCACACACGGCGCTGCCAATATTTGATCACGTGCTTCAAATCATGCATTTGATTGGTTAATCCAAAAACTGTTGCCGGGATCCATCGCCAGTGCGGCGCACACGTTGCGATTGTTCAGCGCTGGGCAACAAATATCAAACATGTTTGATATTCCAGCGACGAGTTTCTGGCGTCAAAATCGGTGACGCCGGGCAGCGGCACACGTGGCGATATTCTCGGCGATTTTGTTGCTGGCAACAGAATCGCCGGTACTGTCGATAAAAATCGCCACGTGTGCGCCGGGCTGTTAACATGTTACACAACCCATGTTAATCTTCTGACCAGCGCAAGCTACCGATTTTACTTACATAGGCTATAGTGTTATTATGGTAATATATATTAGCAGTAGGTGGATCCGGTTTTGCAGAACTGGTTTATCAGTATTAGTTTGGGATGCTAGAGTTTGATGAGGTCACCGCACAGTCGGCAGATTGGTAGATTGCACAAATCGGAAGATTGCGCGCAACATATAGACTTGAGTTCGTTTACATCGTGAGCGTTCAGAGATTTTATCGATTTTACTGCATCTAGCTATCAAACGCAGCTTTTTATAATGCCTAGTGTATGCACGCTTGCCAACTGTCTGTTGTGAATAAATATGAAAAGGAAATACATTAAACATTGTGTGTTTTAACGATAAATTTTTTTTGATTTGCTAATTTATCTAATGTAGAACATGTTTCGCCCTGCCCTGGGCTCATCAATGCATCTTATGTTATTTACATACATGTCGAAGTAAATTTATCTATATGTAACGTTCGTCCCTCTGTCCCTGTCCCCCTCGTTGTTCGTCGTGCCTGGCCCGCAGCGCCCTCCGCTGCCAGGGGTCGGCCGAGCCAAGTTCGGGCAGGCCCTACGGCCTCCGCGCTGGCTATAGGACAGGGTTGAGGGAGAGGGTGTTACTCCCCCACCCACGTTCTACCAGGTCATGCTAGATAAGATGACAGCCGTACAGTTCTTGTAAGTTGTAAGATATATCATATAGGTCCTTTATTATACACGCCGGTCCGCACGTCAACGCGATGGCTGTTCGTGCCTGCACGCGCACTATCAACCACGGGAGCTAGCGGCTCAGCCGCTGCCCCCACCACTCCATCTCATGCGCCTACGCCGCACCAGGGAGTCTATAATAGGCTCCCTGGCCGCACGCAGCAGCTCGCGTCGAATCTCCTCCCGCACGGACACAAAACCACTACACCGGCACAGATATGTTGCTACCACACGGACACGGATACACGTACACTATATAGATATAGATACACTGCCAACCGCTACATACGTACGAAAATACGTACTGCCACTATATAGGTACAGATACACATACAGCCCCTACATAGGTACGGCGGATATATTTCTACCCGGTTCAATGCTGTTTCGGCCGTCGTGCGCGCACACACAGTAAAAACGCCTGCTCCCGCCCGTACTTAGAACAAAGAGCCGGCAAAACAGCTTCCCTGCCGCCTCTCGCGCCGCTCACTATATTATCGCCTACGCCATCGTTTACATGTCTTTATGTTCACATGCGTGACTGACCAGTTTACACAGTAGTGTAAGCGTGTGATACGTCTTACATTAAAGTGCGTAGAAATGTTGACACTTTAATAAACACAAGCATACGAGAGGAGACAGTGCCACAAAGAAATAGATTTATTACAAGAGAAGATGCTTGTAACAGTACAATAGCACGGCAGTGCAAAGAAGTTGCCAAGATATAGACAGTACAATAAGTGATTACTCCTACAACAAGTGTGAAGGAATTCCACGTTAGGAAAGTCATCGAAAGTAAAAAAAAAGAAGGATCAGCATTACTTTATTACAGTAGTACTGTGGCACGTGTCAAATAAGCAAACAATAATAATATCTTATAAACAATGAAGATTTTTATTTTATCTTCCGGAACTTTTTTGTTAATAAATTATATTGGTAATGAAAATACTATTAATATCTGATAAAACCATCATTTCTACTAATTTCCATCGTATTCTTGTGGTAGAATTAGACAGGTATTTTTCCTTTACTATTTATTTATTTATTTATCATGCTCTGGATAAGCTGGTGGCATGATAAATGGAGCTTTGGCTGGCTTCTGGTGTTTCTCCCCCTTCCACATGTCTGCGATGCCTAGCTGACATAGCCCCTCAGTCGACCTCTTCTCATAGGGGCTGGGGGAGTCCTGGGTTGGTAGGCTTCTGGCGCTGGCAGGTCATCCGGGGTTGTGTCCTCCGTTGGCTGGACGATGGTCGTCCTTGCAGGTGGCAACGAAGTGCGCAGGTGGCGCAGGCGGCGATGGATTATGTTGAACTGTAAATTCGTGAGTCCTATGCTTAGAGTAGTATCTATCAGGGTAATTCGCATTGAACTCGTCCATGAAGAGGAAGCCTGAGCCTCCGTTGCGAAGCTGGGTCCAGGTCAGTGGTGCCCAGGGGTTGTTCTCAACGTGCGGCAAGCCGTCTAGACCAGAGCCGCCTGGGTGGGAGTGATATCAAGGCGGTAGATCGTTGGGTAGGTCTATATTGCAAGGTTTCTAACGTTGAATTAGCAATGTTAATGTTAAAGACACGCATTTAAAATCCAAATTGCAAGGAATTAAAGCATTCATAGTTATACTCATTGCTGTTAACAGTTAATGAAACTCTGTTACTTTAGCAAGAGCACACAGTATGCTATTTAAGAACCAAAACATTTAAAGAAAACAAAGTCTCACAAGCTCTAATATTGGCTGTTAAACTACGCAACACAACCAAACCATAAGTCAGTCCTCTTACTCTTAGTCTTACGAACACATGTGCGTAACGCAAAAATAGAGTAGCTACTAGGTCTACTGAAAAGAGTAAGGAGAGAATTACGCAGCACACACAATCAAGGCGCAACCAGCATTTCTACAAAAAGTGAGCTACCAAGCATGACCAGCGATTAATGAATAGAAAAAGGCGAGCATACATCAGCAGCTAAACACAAGCGCTGGCGCGACTCAACGGGACACCTTATAGGCGGATTGTGAGGTTCCAACACAGGGAGTGAGGAGGGCGTGGCATAGTAGGTGTGACGGTGCTTACTTTTAATAATTTGAACACATTGAATAATGAAGACGTGTGTACTCGTGACACAGTCTGATATATTATTCAATCGTGGAAGATTCACATTGCCATGACCACGCCGCCATTTGCATTGTTTACAAAAACATAAGCGCCCCTAGCGGGCGATACCGAAAAGAAAATACGTACTCCGGTGGAATGCCGCAACATCCAGGGGGACATCATTCGACAGGGATGTCGAAAGCGCAGACCATAGTATCTCAATCCACGTGACAACTTAGTAACTTTCACAAAACGCGATAACATACTCACAACTTAGATTAGAACGCGAGTAACGAGTATGCGTGATTGCCGAACAATGAGTGTGCGCGATTGTCCTGATTGTCGAAAGACAAAGTTCAAACAGTCCTCTGAACCAAATTACTCGAGCTAAATGATAATCTTTTACGAATAATGAATCACCGGTAGCCCTTTCCAAACAACGAACGTTTAGTCCTTGTGTACGCGGACAAGCGCAAACGAAACGACAGTCCTTAACACAGGTAAGTGTCCTTGTTCCAAAACGTAAATGAACAACAGTCCATAAGAAACACTAAAAGTCCATAACATGAACCAACACAACATACACAGTCCTGAGGTAAATGATACTCAATACACACACAAAACAGTCCAATAGTCTATTGGCACTCTTGCCATTCAAATCCTAAACATCGAGTCTCTCGGACTTCGGCGGATAGGGGATTCGTCATCGCGCGAATAATAAATGTATGTTTGTGAGTTGAACGAAGAATAAAAGAATAAATATGATGCAGATTTTTCCTATCTTATATTCTCGTCCACACGTTGCATTCGGTACCACGCGGATACAGGGTGCTATTAGTGTCCTTAGTCGCGTAGACAAATATCGTTGCAGTCGAAACAATACTGTCTGAAAGTATTTAGAATCTCAGAAACGAGGGCTGTCGAATTAATAAACTAACGTCATGATTGTGCTTTCAATGTCAGCGCAGGTGTGTCAACGACAGATGTGGAATGTGCGCTTACCAACAAATACGCGATGAATTCCAGGCACACATACAAACGAGCCAAAAGCAATACCATCCGCTACACTTCGTGCGGAGGATAAATATGCGATGGAATCTATCTCACATAGCCGCGGTAAGATTGTGCAGAGCCCACATACATAGCATGCCAGAGATATAGGTACTTCCTTGTTGGAAAAGCTCAATTAGCAAGGAAAGAAAGAAAGGAGAGGAAGAAGAGAAGCGAGAGAGAAAGCAATATGGTGGGAGAATATTAGGGAGGTGAGCGCGATAGGAACCCCGAGCGAGATGCCCACGTATAGTTTAAGTAGCGTTCACTTCTAGGTGTGGGACAAGTGTCATGTCAAGATTTCTGTCTCTGAAATGTGACACCAATGTAAACGGGGCATTCGCACCGTTGCCACGGTCTGCGCAGCGTGATCTTGACATTGCTGGGTCTTAATTCCGCTGCCAACACATCCTGAGTCATCTATCTTGCGTGCATAATGCAATTAGTGCATTCTACTGCGATTTTATCCCCCAGCGAAATACGGAGATTTTTTGGGGTCAGCTTATTTACTAGCAGTGAGTAACAAAATAGATATATAAAGATAACCATTGAATTAAACAGCATACGCGATAACAAGGCCGTTAATGAAGACAAATAATGTCTTCATTAACTCTTGATGTAACTTAATTAGAGTTGGTCAAATAATGTTCAATCTCTAGGAATGTCGTGGGAGTTCTGGTAAGGTTTTACTTTTCGTTTTTCTCTTCTCCAGTCCACGGATACTATTATTTCATAGAACACACATTATATAATACACATTACGTGCGCTCTTCCTCGCGCAGATATCTCCCAAGGAAGAAGCGCAACAGAACGCGCGCGCGAAAGCACTGCTCGCCGCCTGCAGCGCCACCAACGCAGCGGGCGACAAAGCATCGCCGACCGGCGCGCGTCGTCAGCGCTTCCTCAGCTCGATTCTCGTCGACGACCGACGTCGCCTGCTCTACTGCATCGTCCCGAAGGCCGGCTCCAGCAACTGGCAGCGCGTATTCGCGGCGCTGTCCACGGAACCCGTCGGCGACCCGCTAGCGTTCGACGCCTACAACATTAACAAGCGACACGGCCTGAAACACCTGCGCGCGTACCGACCGTCGGAGGGCCGACGTCGGCTAGAAACCTACTTCAAGTTTATCTTCGTGCGCGATCCGTACGAGCGCCTCCTGTCGGCGTTCGCAAGCATCTTCCTGAAGCCGCTCGCCGACTTCGGCACGCAGCACAAGCTGATGTTCGCTAAGTATCGTCGGCACGTCGTCGCCAACTACAGACGCGACGCCGACGCCGACCCTCGCGACCTCAACGTGACCTTCGACGAATTCGCGCGCTATCTCACCGACGAGCTCACCCTGGCGGCCGATCCGTTCTCGGTATCGTACACGGGCAGTTTGAATCCGCACTGGGCGCCGATGTACGAGCTGTGCGACCCGTGTCGCGTGCGATACGACGTCGTCGGCACGCACCGCACGATGGCGGCCGACGCCGACTACGTGCTACGGCGCATGAACGTCGCCCACCTGCTGCGCTACCCGTCGTACGGCGCGAAGCAAAACATGACGCGGTCTGCGATGCCAGACTTCTACCGTAGCCTGAGCGCCGACGTCGTGGCGAAGATACGGCGACTGTACGACGTCGATTTCAAACTGTTTCGATTCAACGCGAGCGAAGTAGACGAATTTGTTTCGTAGGCATTGCAGACGTTGACATCGCGGTCGATTTGTAGAAATTAATATCGTCACCTATCTCGGCCTTGCGGTGATTTTTTGTGTCTGCGTTTTTTTTCGACCTGCTTATCACAATGGCCGTCTGCTTTACAAGCAATTAAACTGGCGATGTGTGGTTAATGAGTGTAGGTTGCGTTGCTAATGGTTGTTGCCGTGTGATACTACACATGACATTGCTCTAGGGGTGATTGTTTTCCGATGTTTCTGACATTTCTGATCGATTACCTAACATGTTAAGGCGGGCCTACGTGATCTGGTCTTCTCGTTGTTTTAGGTTTTCGTGTTGTCTGTCCCCCAGTCGACGTTGGTGCCCTACACCGCTCGTTATAGCTACTTTGCTATTGAGATCTTAACTTCTGCAGGTCAATGCTTTAGCTGTTGGGGTGACAGTTTCACTTGCTGTTATTTTATAATGCGCATGATGTAATTTGTGTGTAGCAGCAATGCTACAACGCACGCACGCACGCACACACGCACGCACGCACGCACACACACACACACACACACACACACACACACACACACCTATACCTTCTGGAGGTGAATGCTCTAGCTAGAGAGAGATCCGCGACTTGCATTAACAAGTGCCGCGGAGCAACAGCGCTCATCTAACGTCTACTGCGGTGACTCCGTGGTGGAGTGGTGGATTCTAGTAAACCGCTGTTAGTCCCAAATGGTGTTCACATACGCGCCGAAACAGTGGAAGGCACAGGGATGGTATCAAGAACCTTCTCAAGGAATTTTGTTGGGATCGTTATGAAAGTTGCCGCACGAGATGGCGCGTACGTTTAAGTGTCTTAAGATTAAAGATGGAAGCTCCCATCGTACGTAGTAGCAATAACTATTTACAAGACATAATAGGTAAACACTCATCCATTTACCTACGCAAGCCTACAGGTTGAAATAGAGAGCCGCCACCTGTAACTAGTTAACGCAGACAAAAACTACACAGTACTATCACCACCACATGCACTGGCAGTGGCCACTGGCAGTGGCATAAGTTACATGTAACACACTGACAGTACAGAATTCCATAGAAATTATACGATTTAAGGAGCATAAACCTTCTTCAACCAAATTTAGCTTTTGAAATTTCACTGTGACATTGTAGCCCTCATACATCCAGGCATGCATAGATTCTACTAGCAAACCCGGCAGTCAAATTCTTTCTAACAGTAAACAAATCCATGTTTAACCCTCCGCTTGAGGGTCAAAAGGTTATCCGACACTTACTCTTTGCATGTCAGCAGAAAGTACATTTCATGGTCCTTTCAATAAAGCCATAAAAATGCTAGGTCACCGCTGAAACGAAAAAGTTTTTAATCGCTCGCGTCAGACCATGTCCTCAAAAAATGTCTAAAATCTGCCCTGTGCCCCATTGAACTTTGACCTGTGACCTCCAATTTTGGCACAGTGCTGGCTTTTCCTACCATGATGCTATACCTGGACTCTACGAGCCTAGGTCGAGCCGTTTAGATTTGTGCCGCAATTCTGCATTTCCTCCCTATACCTTAAGTTAAGGAGGGAATGTTCCCCCTGCTTTTACACCTCTTGACCTTTGACCCTTGACCCCCAGCTTCGACATCCCAACTCGTTTTCGGATTCCCCCCCCCACGTCCCGAATATCGTGACCGTACGTCGAGCGGTTAAGGTTTGTGCCCAACTGTTGACGCACGGACGGACGGACGATCATGCGATTCTACAAGCTGCATCTGACTACGCCAGATGAGCTAATAATAGCAATATTACCGACAATCCCGTGCCGCCGGCCATATTGGTAGTCCGTACACGAACCCATTTTACACGTAATCTTCTGATCAGCGCAAGCTACCGATTTTAATTACATAGGCTATAATGTTATTATGGTAATATATATTAGCAGTAGGTGGATCCCGGTTTTGCAGACTGGTTTATCAGTATGGTTTGGGATGCTAGAGTTTGATGAGGTCACCGCACAGTCGGCAGATTGGTAGATTGCACAAATCGGAAGATTGCGCGCAACATATTGACTTGAGTTCGTTTACATCGTGAGCGGTCAGAAATGTCATCGATTTTACTGAATCTAGCTATTAAACGCAGCTTTTTATAATACCTAGTGTACGCACGCTTGCCAACTGTCTGTTGTGAATAAATATAAAAAATAAATACATTACACGTTACATACATACATACATACACACAACGTTAAAAATTTATTGATTTGCTAATTTATCTAACGTAGAACATGTTTCGCCCTGCCCTGGGCTCATAAATGCATCTTATGTTATTTACATACATGTCGAAGTAAATTTATCTATATGTAACGTTTGTCCTTCTGTCGCTGTCCCCCTCGTTGTTCGTCGTGCCTGGCCCGCAGCGCCCTCCGCTGCCAGGGGTCGGCCGAACCAAGTTCGGGCAGGCCCTACGGCCTCCGCGCTGGCTAGGACAGGGTGGAGGGAGGGGGTGTTACTTCCCCAACCAGGTTCTACCAGGTCATGCTAGATAAGATGACAGCCGTACAGTTCTTGTAAGTTCTAAGATATATCATATATGTAGCAAGGTAAAGCCGTTGCTTCACCTACCCCAGGCTCTCGGTTCGGCTGCAGGAGGGTATCCTCCCTAGGTAGCTGACGGGAAACGCCGATAGGAATAACACGAACACAGAATTGTAATGTACTGGACGTGCGTATAATATATATATGAGTGTAAACCACTAACAAGAGAACTACTATACTCGTACAATATGTTATTCAGGCTGCGCCGCATATCGCGTACAATGTATATATATAGGTATACCTAGAGAGCCGACTCCTATGTCGCCTCTGCGCGCGCGTGTCGCGTACAAACGTAAAAAGGTTATACCTGAGGTTGTCGCTTGATACCAGGAATCACTCGGCGGTGTGCGGCTCCGGAGATAGAATAAGGAAAAGGGACAAATACCAATTTTCAGGGAAAACGCAGGGCGAGGAGAAAAACCAGACCAACGTGAGAGACCCGAGTGTGTCGCTAACTTGTCGCGCGTCCCATTCACGACGGCGGCCATAAAATTGTAGCCCCGGTATAGTAGAGAGCCATAAAGGCACGCTCTACCCCGCAAATTGCTGTTTTTATGATTCGCCGAACATCGAGCAATCTGCAGAACGCAAGATTGTTTGTAAATCGGCTTGTTTTGGAAATGGCGAATCGTCTATACTACATATAGGTCCTTTATTATACACGCCGGTCCGCACGTCAACGCGATGGCTGTTCGTGCCACAGGCACTTGAAGCGTTTCAATAAAATATATACGCAAGGGTCGTGTGCTGTGCACGGCGACAGTTAAATATAAACTACAGTTATATACGGTTATATATTTAACTGTCGCCGTGCACAGCACACGACCCCTGCGTAGATATTTTATTGAAACGCTTCAAGTGCCTGTGGTTCGTGCACTATCATAGCCCACGGGGAGCTAGCGCCAGCGCTGCCCCCATCACTCCATCTCATGCGCCTACGCCGCGCGCAGCAGCTCGCGTCGAATCTCCTCCCGCACGGACACAAAACAACTACACCGGCACAGATATGTTGCCACCACACGGACACGGATACACGTACACTATATAGATATAGATACACTGCCAACCGCTACATAGGTACGAATATACGTACTGCCACTATATAGGTACGGATACACATACAGCCACTACATAGGTACGGCGGATATATTTCTACTCGGCTCAATGTTGTTTCGGCCACAGGCACTTGAAGCGTTTCAATAAAATATAA